TTACGATCAAAAACGGCCATATACGAGGCTTACTCGAGATTTGGGTCTGTTACCAAAGAACGTAACATATAGCACTGCAAGTATTAAAGTTTTCTGTGTTTCAATTTAAAAATACCTTATTTGTAGTCTTATTTAAGAAAAAAATAGTCTATCTATTTAAAAGAGTTTTTAAATATATTCTTAATTAAAGAATTAAATAAAGAATACAACTATTTTACGATCCGCCTAGCCATATTATAATATGGCTATGTATATTATGTTGGAAATATTGATATATTATTATATATTATAGATATATTACTGTCTTTGATCGGCCTGACTTTCTTATAGGCATACCATAATAACAAGTATAAGAGTTAGCTAAATCATGAAATACATCGGTCGCTACCTATGCATCACGAATAGACTGAGCAAAAGATTATGATTAAAATTTTATCGAGTTTGTTCGTACGAACAAAATTAAATATAGGAATTTTGTAGCAACTCATTAAGTGGTTAGTATAAAAAGTTAGGCATTAGGGCTCAATTGTCGTTCATCTCACGATGTGATTTTTAAAGAAATATCTTATAAAATATTATTAACAAAAGTGCTATTTAAGAAGGACTTGCTTTTAAGAACATTAAGACCCAAAGCGACACCGGGAAGAGGTAATTAAGCAAATAAAATATTACAGTAAGTACGTTACTTTAGAAGGTTAAATAAAAATTAGTAGTACCGCTGTATAAAATAATTTGGTACAGAAAGTGTCTAAAAAAATATTTAAAAGAATAGCGTTTTTTGCTACGAAAAAAATAAAAGTGCAAGTTCGTCTGAGGGATAAAATTTGTTTTTAAATATATGTAACTACCCTTGAGTTTCAACATATTTATCAAAATATTATTATAATATACATTTTAAGAGATAAATTAAATTGGATTTAGAATAGTTGAATACCTAATTGTTTTAGGTAAATATGTATATATATATATATATATATATATATATATATATATATATATATATATATATATATACTAGCGACTCATCCTCCCTTCGCTCGGGTTCATCCCTTTTTTTTTTTTGTTAACGCTGGGGAAACCCATCATGGGGACCCTACCGGCCGTCCATGGGTAGGGTACTGTGAGACTCCTACTCACTAAAACCCACAGCGGAACCCGTCGCCGCAGTGCAATGGGGTGTGTAGGATCGCTTGCGCATTCACTACAACACCCCTGCGGACAGCCCGTACCCCGCGGGCCTGCCTCGCCTAAACCGGGATGCCCTCGATTCACAGAGCATCCCGACCGCCCCGATATCGGGTTCATCCCTAGCTTGATTCCCAATGCAAACTTTCAAGGGATGATTTCCGGGATAAAATGTATTCTATGTCCTTCTCAGCGTCTCAAACTATGTATTTACCAAATTTCATCTAAATCGGTTCAGTAGATCCAGAGATTACCCCCTACAACGTCACAAACTCACAATCTCACAAACTCACAAATTTTACGTCTTTATAATATTAGTATAGATGACACAAACGAAAAGTGTGTTACTGAACTCTAATTGCACCAATCACAATCGCATTAGGCCTATTTTATATACATACCTTTATCTAATGTTCGCCCAGTGATCATCAATATTCTACATAAAAAGTATAATGTGTCTACATAAAAAAACTAACTGTTTCTAACATTTATTAATTGATAATAATACTAAAGCTCGTCAATAACTACGAAACTAAAAAAAATCGGTTAATATAAGACCTCTTTCTTTACTGAACTGTTTTGTCTTTATCTATTACTAGCGACTCACCCTCGCTTCGCTCGGGTTCATCCCTAAGTTGCTTCCCCATACAAACTTTCATCCCCGTTTTCACCCCCTTCAGGGATGATTTCCGGGATAAAACTATCCTATGTCCTTCCCAGGGTCTCAAACTATCTTCTTACCAAATTTCATCTAAATCGGTCTAATAGTTTCGGAGCTTAATCGATACAAAAAATCTTTTCTCTTTATAATTTACTAGCGACTCACCCTCGCTTCGCTCTGGTTCGTTCGTAGCTTGATTCCCTATAAATACTTTCATCGCCATTTTCAACCCCTTAAGGGATGATTTCTGGGATTAAAAGTATCCTATGTCCTTCCCAGGGTCTCAAACTATCTTCTTACCAAATTTCACCAAATCGGTTCAGCAGATTCAGAGATCACCCTTACAACGTCAACAAACTCACAGTCTCACAAACTTTACCTCTTTATAATATTAGTATAAATATATAGATCTTATGAAAGATAACTATACAAGAATATTATTATAACTAAATTATTCAATTTTAGTTTATCTGAAATATAATTTAAGATATCGCTAACGCTCACGTTAATCTACTTCAAGTAAAGGGTAAAATATAATCTCTAAACTTCGAACTTATCTCCCAACTCGCAAGTGATAACCACAGCTTCGCATTCTATACAACGTTATCTAACTTAAATACGTTTAAAACTTTGTAACTAATGGTTAATCTTATTTTACAATCTCCTCCAACGTATGTCCAAAGTTGGTTCCTTTGTTGGTCTATACGACCTATTTAAAAAGCTTCTGTTACCTATATCATTGATAGCTGTCACAGCACATATCTAGCACGGTAATGTTACATAATAACATTACCGTGTCTCTAGCTAACAGTGTTTACAATTATTCTTGTGATTTCGAGTTCTAATTTCATATGATCATTTTTTTTTATATTCATAAGTTAACACCGAAACAATATAAGAATAATAATATGTTGGGATATTAACACACAGCACCATCTAGTTCCATGGTAAGCTACATGGCGTGTGTTATGGATACCAGATAGTCGATACACTACACATATATAACTTTAAATACATACATATTATAAATATAAACAGCCATGACTGGACTACAAACATTGATACTCATCACACAAATGAATGCCCTCAGCGGGACTCGAATCTGCGACCACTGGCACAGCAAGTAGAATTACTACCAACTGAGCCAAACGAGTCATCTAAATAATATACTTACATATTTATGTATAATCCATACTTCGTATACATACAAAATTCGTTTCCCATAATACTTTGTTTTATCGTAATATTAAATATACATATATTTAAATACTTTATTTCAAAGGAACTCACTCTTTGCATACAAAATGTTAATTATACTATAATAAAAGAGTAGAGGTCGAATGTCTGTACATAGCAAAAAAATGCTAAAAACCGAGTCAGGGGGATGTAAGAAGACAAATAGAACAAATCCAGATTTTTTTCAATTTTTTTGTTTCTCTGTCTGTTTGTCTGTTTGTACGAGCTAATCTCTGAATCTACTGAACCGATTTAAATGAAATTTTGCATGGTGGTACCTTATATCCCCGGGCAACATCTTAGACAACTTTTTATCCCAGAAAATTAAAGAGTTCCAGTGGGATAGTTAAAAAACTATAGTATCTTATACAGCTCAGTACACAACAATTTATGCACCTAATTTAGAAAAATTTGGCATGCTGAATGCTGATACCTTATATTGCCGGTTAAACAACAGGTTACTTTTCATCCCGGAAGAATAGATGGATCCCGTGGGAACTAATAGATCTGTATTAGTGTTTTTCTAGATCGCTAGTTTTTATATATAAAGTGAAAGCTTCTTTTAAAATTAACAAAGGGACCAATATATATAATAAACAGTAACTGGTTTCCAATATTATGGTAAAATATATCTAGTGGGGAAGACAGAAGATGATAGATTACCTCCTGATTGCTTCATAGCACTACAGTGTAAGCGACCGAGATTGGGCTATTCAAACTGTATTAGTAAATTATAACATGAAACCCACCCTCGCTCCTTCATTTCGTTCGTCCCTAGATACGTTTTAACGTTTTATAATATATAAAAATCTATCTATCCAGTGGTTTTCTTGTGATGCGTTCCCAGACAGACAGACAGACAGACAAAAATTCTAAAAACTCTACATTCGATCTCTGTATCGATAATAATAACTATTGCAATAAGATTTTACAAAAAATATTTAATGTACAGATTCGACTTAATTACAATTTTATTATATGTATAGATTAAACTTATATTTCTTACCTATTTTTAAAAGTATCTTGATTTATTCGCATGTTTAATATTAAATTTATTTTTAATCAATTGCGTCAAAATATTAATTATTCTTATAGTGTTTTACATTCGTTTGAAGTTATGCAACAAAATTGTAGAACTGCCTTGCGCAAGCAAAAGCCTAAATTCATATAAAATTATGACTGCTGGTAAAAATCTAAAGCTGACCTACGCACTAAAACAATATGCATGTAAACATTAAATTTAACAAGAGTTTATCGTCCTCTGTAAGATAAAATATCAATAGTCTTCAAAATCTCTGCCGACCACACTGTCCCTGCCGCACTGAGTTTGTGTTTGTTTATGTAAATTTCAGAAACTACTAAGCGGATTTACATATGATATTTTCTAATATCATGAGGAACTCATTAAAAAGGTTAAAATCTATAATTTATGAATATTTGAGAAAATATGCTACCCGTTTGATGATATTTGCAAATTAAGTCAGGTAAAGTCCCTTCTAAGAGCTTTTGTAGTGATATATCCATATATCAAGACTAGCATTGCCCGCGGCTCCACCCGCGCTCAGATGGCCAAAAACCAAATTCTTAGGTTTTACATATTAGTATACCCTTACATTGCAGTTTTAGTATTTTTTCTCAGAAATGAGATATTTTCCCGCGGTAAAAAATATCCTATATATATGTTGACCCGGATAATCAGCTATACCATACCAAATTTCATCAAAATCCCTCCAGTAGTTTTTCTGTGACGCGGTAACAGACAGACAGACAGACAAAAATTCTAAAAACTATAGATTCGAGTTCTGTATCGATAATAATGTTGATTCGGCTTAGTTACAATTTTATTATACGTATAGAAGAAGGACATACGTCATTATTAATGAATATAAAAGAATAATACAAATGAACGTCCCACCAGGTAAAGTAGACGAGAAAGCAACGCAGTTACACGCGATAGCGTCTCTCAAAGTGTTATTGGAGGCGACGCGACCAACTGCAGGAGGAACTGGTGCGGCTGCTGCGAGACATTCTGCTGCTGTCGCTAAAGAAACGCCTTTGGATCTCCCGAACGGAGGTCTTACTGATGTACAGTTAGATGCGATAGAAGAGGTAAGTTTTGTCTTATATTGTTGAGTTTTATCTAAAATCTGATTTTCACTACATAGTATAAAACAAAGTCACTTCCCGCTGTCTGTCTGTCCCTATGTATGCTTAGATCTTTAAAACTACGTATTGGATTTTTTTGCGGTTTTTTTAATAGATAGATTATTCAAGAGAAACGTTTTAGTATATAGTTTGTTAAGTTTTTGTATACATTGGTTAAAATATAACGATATTTGTTGCAGCTTAATAAAGATAAAAACAAATATATAAAAATAAGCCATCTGGGAGCTTTCAAAACAATGCTGCCTAAACCCTTTGAGATATAACAAAATAATGTATGGTGGAATTTTGTATCTCATATAGGTCTACAGAAAAGTCCGCGATGGCATATGTCTATCTCTTAAGGATAACATACTACATCCATTTTAATTCAAAACAAACCCGAGCAAAGCGAGGGTGAATCGCTAGTATTGTATAATCATGACTAGTGATCTGCCCGGACTCGTTTGATGCTTTTTTCATTGCGCACGTTCTCAAAAACATTATTTACCATACCATTTATATACTTCCTATTACTAACTTACCGAGGTTAATTTTGGATTGCACCGAAGTACATAGATGTTTTATTTATTAATAATATCAAAAAATACTGGCTTTTTAGGTACACTTGGCTAAAAGAATATTAATTTCTGCACTAACATTTCAAAAATATTTTTTTAATAACATGTCGATATAAATATATCAATTTTGGACATACAATGACATTTTAAATAAAACTATTTTTTCGGATTTTTTCGCGGATTTATTTTAATTTTTGGTTTCTATTTGGCTGATATATTGACGAGTGAATTTTCGACGGAAAATTAGGGTGCTTTGTTTTTGAATTTTTCACATAAATTTTAAAGATATGTGAAAAAAGTTGTAGATCTTTTTATTACCTATAACTTGCCATTTGACTGTTTTCCATAGGACTTGTAGTTTTGCCGGAAATCGAGATAAACCGTTTTTTACCCTTAAAAACTCACCCCCTTCCCCTTCCCGACCTCAGATCGCCCGTAAATTATTTTTCCTTTCATTTTTATAATATTCTCTCCCTTTTCCCATGGGTTTCATCCTACTATTTTTTTTTACTTTTTATTATCTTTAAAGGCTTCAATCCAGGTCTACTTAGTCTGTCATTTTTAACTCTATCTCTTGAAAAGAGAGATAAAACTAAGTGAAACTAGAGCGAGCTTAAATAAATTCGTTAAATTTAAAAGAACTAAAGAAAGCAGTCGCCGAAATCTTTTCACACATATTACTTCCATATTTGATTTTAACTTCATCTATTTTAATATTTAGGAGTATATTAACAAAGTTTTTTAGCTTTGGACCTATAACGTTAAAGACTAACTTCCTTCGAGTGTCGGAGAACTTAATACTGGAATAGAAGAAATAGCAAAACTTTACGTAACTACAGAGCTTATTAAAGTGAGAGAAGTCAAGGTCCTCAATGCAAGGCTTTATCCTTGACCAAAATGTCATACCACTCAAGCTTTTATATACCTCCTAAACATTACTCTCGTAAATTACCAATGGTGGGACCATACACATGATATTTTATAACAGAGAGAAAGTCTAACAGAGAGTACCTTGTTCATAAGCAGTGCCCATATTTACAAAAAGATCAACTTTATACAATACTTTTAGAATTAATGGCTCTAAAAAGCTTTTAAAAGAATTTTGGGTTTTTTTTTACCTCTATAAAATTAGTATAGACGAATATGAAAACAATATCTCATGGCATACAGATACTATAATTTACGACTAAATTGAGTACCTTTTGTTTTTTTTTTTTTAATTATAAAATAACATTATCAAATTAATTATAAAAATCAATTACATAATTATTACCATTAAGTAAAATTAAATACACGTATGATAATTTTTAAAATAATTTAATGAAGAGTTTTGAAGAAAATCCTCACTTTAGTTGATTTTTTTTAGTAAAATCCATATTAAGAAAATCTTATACAGCATCCTTATCCCAAAATCTCCTCTGTAAATACCCTTTTCTCTTAAGTACATCTCATACGTTTCACCATAAATCTTGCGTATTTTTCGCTGATAGCATATAGCCATTTTTCTTCATTCTTCCATTTATCGAAGAATAAATGTTATATCGAATTGTAGAATTTGGAATCGTGTTACTTTTTTACATTATAATATTCTCTGTTGAGAAATGCTTCACCTTTATTTTCCATTTTTTTTTAAAGTTTTAGGAGGTGTGCTGAATGTTTATGATCCTATAAAATATTCAATAAAAGCTTCTATTGCTAGTTTAAAAAAAAGGGAAGAAATTATGTGTATAGGCTCTTTCAATGATACTTTTCCGATAATATTTTTTTATTTTATTTTATCAAGAAAAGTTAAAAATTTGATCTATAGTCCTGCTGAGTTTCTTTCAGCAAATCTTCTATGAACTGAGGCATTTATCTTTGGTACTGCTAATAGAGTTATTGACAAACAATAAGTGTATTTCTGAAAATCAGTAGTGGATAAAAGAAATTGAATTGGAATTTTGACATTTCTCAAAGTTGAGCTTTTACGTCTTCATTTGATCGAAACAAGATATTCGATATGTAACATACGTACGACTAATATAAAAAGAAATCACATTGCCATCATACTACGCCAACGTTGCATACAAATTGCCAGTGCCAAGTCATTATCTTTTCAAACTGACTACAAAGACGAAGGTACCGAATTCGAATATAAATAACATAAGCCAACTCAAATGAATAGCGTCACTAGATATTTCATTTAGGCCCCATCTTGATGAAAGCTTAGATAATGAAATACCTAATATTTTCAAAGTCATCATATGGCACCTCTAGTAATATAACAAATCCGGGTTGATCAGGTCCAAGTCCAAGGAATGTCTTCCACCTTTTCTGAGCTTTAACGTATTGACCTTCACAAAAACTGACGAAAGACACGCTAAGCTTTTTGGGATATCAACATAATTTAGTGTAGCAAAAAATGCGTACTAATTTTTGTTCATGATTTAAGTTATTAGATCTATTTAGATAGAAAGAAACAAACATAATCAAACTCACTGACTAATTGATTATTATTGATTATATCTCAAAAACTCCTAAAGCTTGTTGATTAGTCAGATGATAGTTTGTATAAAGACTCGCCAAGAACAGATTCTTGGGAATTAATATTTTGTGTATAATAAAATATAAATATTTATATGGAATTTTTTGATTAAAATATAAGTAATTGAGTATAAGTAAAATATAACGGACCTTTTTATGACGATTAGAGATTTATTAGCAACGAAACTCACAAGCAAAATCCGCGTGCGAATATATACTAGTAACTTATAAAAATTAACTTAAACCTAATCAGTTCTATACTCATATTTCATATATTTATCTGGCTACCGAGTATGGCTCATATGATAAAATAATTAATTTATACTTTAATTCAATGGAAATACACTTGCTACTTATTTGCAGTAATTTATTTATAGACTTAAACATACTGAATGCAAAAAAATATTTATTAGAGGAAATATACAAATATATGATCCTAAATTAAATGCTTTTTGGTTTAGGATTTTACTACTTTGATCTAAGCTTTTTTATGGACTTACAGATGGGCGGGTCAGCGTAGCTTTAGGCATGGACCTTTTGATATAGAACCCTAAATGTATATAGAAAAATCATTATATCATCTTCATTTTCTTCATCTCAGGAAGCCCTTATTTATAGGCCTTCCTTTCGATACCTTACTACCAGATCGATAATCTTCAATATTTATATAACCAGTACGAAATAATTTAAATATGATTTGATAGAAGGTAGAAGATTCATTTTTATCTCTATTTAGTAAATGATTTTTTGTTAAATATTATTTTGTTACATATAGGATACTAGCATTGCCCGCGGCTCCACCCGCGTTCAGATGACCGAAAAGCAAATTCTTAGGTTTTACATATAAGTGTACTCTTACAATGCAGTTTTTGATTTTTTTCTCAGAAATGAGATATTTTTCTGCGGTAAAAAGCATAGTATATATGTTGACCCGGATAACCAGCTATCACCATACCAAATTTCATCAAAATCCCTCCAGTGGTTTTTCTGTGATGCGGTAACAGACAGACATATCGACAATAATGTCTATTTCTATAAGATTTTTCAAAAAATATTTAATGTACAGATTCGGCTTAGTTACAATCTATACATATAATAAAATTTAAATAATTTGATATTATTATGTTTTCTAAATTATGGTTGTTATTTCAGATTGGAGACTTGGAGGATGACACGACGCCGCTGGACATGTCATGGCCTTCTGGTTTCCGGAAGCGAATCACGTATTTGTTGGTCGCACCCATTATCTTCCCATTATGGATGACCCTCCCGGACACGAGGACTCCGCGAGGTAAAATGTCATATTATTTTTCAAAATTAACATTAATTTGCGGATTTTTTCTAGTCTAATCAATCACGAAAATCTATTTTGTGAATGTTTATATTTAAATATGAACTTACTAGTATAATTTAAGTACAATTTTTACTGACGAGAATTACAATTTCGATAGCTATGTAACTAATCTCGTCTAGATATTATATTATTTATTATATCAACATTATATCCGTCGAACCCAAATAACATAGCACAAATTACCAATATTCTATACAATATGGTATATAAAACCTTTCAGCAATGTTTAAGATGAATATACCTTCCCTTCAATCTTATGCAACGAAATCAATTTTATGTTCAACAATGAACCTTTTTCTTTTCAGGGAAGAAACTTTTCCCTGTAACATTTATAGGATCGATAGTATGGATAGCGTTTTTCTCCTACCTCATGGTGTGGTGGGCTAATTTGGTGGGGGCGGCGGCCTACGTCCCCCCGGAAGTGATGGGGCTAACGCTCCTGGCTGCAGGGACTTCGGTTCCGGATCTCATCACGTCCGTCATAGTCGCGAGAAAAGGCTTCGGTGATATGGCGGTCTCGAGCTCAGTTGGTAGCAATATTTTTGATGTTACTGTTGGGTAAGTAAACCTTTTGTACTTTTTTTATGTTTTAGGTTTTTTTTGGCATGGTAACAAATTTCAGCGCTAAGATATAAATTGTATGAATTTCCATATATGTATTACTTCTTAGTTTTCGTCTCCAAACCTTCTACTTGGCTTGCACTTGGCTTCTACTAAGTATTGTAACGGGGCTGTTAGAATGAACCCTCGTATGAGACGAATCTGAGTCGGCTATAGTTCATATTATTGGTGTATTGGTATATGAAACACTACTCAGGAAACTAAGACGGGATTATTCTACTATCGATATAATGTATTAAAATGGCATACTCAAAGTTACACATTTAATTTGCCATCATTATACATTTTACAATAATTTTCTATTAACGTTATCGATTTTAGGAAGTTTTAAATTAATGTCCTTTTTATTTACCGATTTGAATAAGAATGAAATATTCATATCAAGTGTATTTTACGAGATATATTCGTCAGCTCTGAACTGATTTTCATGATATATATTTTTTCATAAATTGGAGATACATAGATAATTTCAAAAGAAATTAATTCCTTTATTAACTTACTTTTATAGTGTAAATATTCAATTATTTATCTCACAAATGGTATTAAGTCACAATTTCATGTACTCAAACTCAGCGAAACAGTAGTGAACATCGTCATCCACAGATGAGTGACCTAATTTATCTCCACTGTAACTCACATATCTCGTGTTATATAAATCTACTATGAAAGACGGTCTAGTTAGATTTCTCAAAACCTATAGTCCTCAAGATTATGATTGCTATATCTACTTAATAGCGGCTCACCCTCGCTTCGTTCGGGTTCGTCCCTAGGTACGTTTTAAATATAAATAGTTATTAGCCAGCGTTGGCCATATATATGTATGTATATATATATATATATATATATATATATATATATATATAATATATATATATATATATATATATATATATATATATATATTTTTGGGGTTTTTTCTAATGTTTTTATAGTTATTCTTCTATTCGAGGCGGAGACAAATCCAATAAATCAAATACCATGAAAATTGGTCCAGCAGTTCTCGAATTATAAGTGTTGTAACACACCTGACTTTGTTTTATATACATATATAGATACGTACTGCATTTTCTTTATAATTTTTCTAAAGCCCTCCCCCATTACATCACAATGTTCAAGCTTGGAAGCGAGCCAACACCAAGATACAAAATATAATTTTATTTTCCTTTCTGAATTATCCAGCTTGCTCTCGTGACTTTTAGACTTAATTGGGAAAAAATTGTTTACTATTTACAGCTCAAATTTACATAGGCTTTAACTGTTCATAAATCAGTCCGTTCACACTTTAAAAAGCTTTATTCGTACTAAAAATTAACTGCATTTTATGTCACTTTTACAAGCGAAAGAGTGTGAAGGTTGACAGTTTACATGTTGCATTATTAAAAAGAGATATTTAATTAAAACCCTATCCCCAAGTAGCAAAGGCTATTTTTCATCAACGTATCAAGTGGGTGGAATCGACAGACTAAAGCTTGTAAATAAATAAAAAGCTTCACACAATTTTTTATTGGCCTGTGACTGGGAATAATAGTTCCTACTACTCGTATTAACTATAATAAAAATGTATTGTAAGTCTAATTTGTTACGTATTATTTTTGTATACATTTTATATGATATATTGTTGCTGTGAACCGAATGGTCAACAACAGACTGGCCGAATGAGGCATTATTAAAAAAATTCAAAACTCCGTTGGAAATGAAAAAAGTTCTTCTAGTTTCTCTTTTATATCACCGAGGACGTATATACCTACATGTATACATATATATATATATATATATATGTATGTATAGTCTAGTAACGTTTCAAGTAATGATGCATATTTTTAAATACAAAATTCCGGTGAGTGTTGTAATTCTTCTCCTTTTTGGCTTCTCCAAATGACTTGACCGATTTTAATGGGATTTTTGTCTACTGCAAAAAATTCAATTGTTTATCACGGTTCATGACATACAGCCTGGTGACAGACGTACAGACAGACAGACGGACGGACAGCGGAGTCTTAGTAATAGTCGTTTTACCCTTTGGGTACGGAATCCTAAAAACTATAGATTCAGCCTCTGTATCGATAATAATATCTATTTCAATAAGATTTCCCAAAAAATATTTAATGTACAGATTCGGCTTAGTTACAATTTTATTATATGTATAGAAGATTGAAGTCTTAAAACGGATGATGCTTTTCGACTTAATTTACAAATGTCATACCTGTACCTTTTAACAAATGTTAAAACCATATGAAAATCTGCTCAGTATTTTCAGAGAACAACCTAAACAAACACAATCTCAGCTCGATGGGGGTCTTTACTTTACAATTTGTATTTTATAGTGATGTCAAATATCGTGTTATCTAAAAAAATATAATTTAAAATGCTTAGGTATACTTAAATAAAAATTAATTTTACAATAATTTGATTTGGTTCTGATATTGTAACTGAGTGTAAATTTATATTCGTTTATTTGATATTTTTAGTGTACTTAAATCATGACACATGACACTAATATCACTAAAAATCACGGGTTTATCATGAAAATATTTGCTTGTGTATTCAAAGTATATGTATATACAAGAAGGGTAACTATCAACACAAGACCCTGAACTTCTAAATCTAATCATCCATTAAAAACAGAATGCTATTAAGTAAATTTCATGAGCAAAACAATAATATTTTACATAATATACTAAGTAAATATTTTACAGATGTTTAGGGCCAGTTTTTTTTTTAAATAAACCGTACAGACGTTTTTTTATGCGACATTAAACAGCCCGCATTACTTCAAGGAGTCAGAAGAAAAATTGGACATTCTTCAAAGCGATATGATACTATTTATTTATATAGTAGTTAAAGTGCCTGAAAAAATGAATTTTTCATTTAATATTATATTACTAACGACCTTACCCTATCTTCGCTCAGGAACGTCGCCAAATGTCTTTTGCATTTATAATATTGTACATAGGTATCGCCTACTTTTGGCACATTTTTTTTAATGTTTATTTTAAAGGGTTCGGTTTAGACTGATCATGCCACCCTTATAGAAATAACTAAACATAATTAATACAATTTACAAAACATACAAACACACATACTTTGACGTACAGTACAGTAAACTTGTTAATAACTTTATATTCATTCATTTAATATTTCCAATAAGTATTGCACTAGCGTCAACGAAGAAGTAGAAATGTAGAAGTTAGCATTTCGCTCATTAGCTAAAAATACTGTATGGCATCACATAGCGCTATGTACGCAGTGGATGATCAGATCGTTGAACTTTACGCCGCGCGTCAGATTCTTTGACACCGATAGCTTGGCATGAAATGCTTCTACGTTATTAAAGACTGTTTGTAAAATTCCTGTAAAATCAGCTTATTTTCAGCTTCATTACGAAATCCGAAAGGCTACATATAGGAGAAAACAAGCATTAATAATTTCTCTTATAGCTTTTGCCCGTAGCTTTTCATATGTGAAATGTATGTACTTTTTAACCCTACTGCGGAGAATCTCTATGTGGGTAATTTGTTTGACTTGTATGTATATCCGATCCTATGTTCCCCCATAATTACTAAACTAACAGAGTTTAATTAATAGTATTATAGGTACATAAGTGGTTATATTCGTTTTGATTAAGCAATTATCATTGATAAGAAACTGTTAAAAATCAAAATGGTGGATTGTAGGCGACAATACTTTCTGTGAGTTTTGCTACGTGTATGTCTCCGACTGCATAAAAGCATATTCCTTCGTCAACTTGTTCCCATTGATTTAGTTCACTATTTACACAATCGTATAATTTTGTATTAGTAACTCTATTTGTCAACGTACTTGAACAAAGCCTATTCACGCTATAAAAATATGGTTAAATTTAAATAACAAAGTGACATCATCCCATGGGATACATTACCAAGATAAAAAGTTCTCGAGGCACCCAGCACATAGATAAACGTAACAAATGTACGGGTACGTGTGAAAAAAATTTAACCCTAGTGTTAGCTAACTAGTGTGGGTCTAAAAATCGAAATTCAATCACAATCATTTTTGTTTATTAATGACATTAAAGCTCGTCTATAACTAAACAAAAAAATATCGGTTGACAAACAGAAGAAAAAAGTACAAAACTATTTTATCTTTGCCTATTTATAGGTATATAGACTAGCGACTCACCTTAGTTTCCCTTCAGGTTTGTCCCTAGACAAAAACAAATCTATCCCACGGGAACCTGACATTTTTCGGGATGGATATATAGTCTATATCCTTCCTCAATCAACCAGCTATCAAAGCAAAAAGATATTTTCAAATCGGAATAATAGTTCCTGAGATTAGCGCGTTCAACCAAACAAACAAACTCTGCTTCTTTATAATATTAGAGTATATAGATTATACGTACAATAAAGTTTTGATTTTATTTTAAATCACAAACGTTAAATATTTTTCTTTTAAATTCGTTTGTATCTGAAAAAATAAACAAAATGAATAATTTTTGTGCACTGACCTCGTACATTAATGCAACACATGCACAAAATGTGAATATGCTTTAGAAATATGTATAGCATTTTTAGATTTAAAGGAAGTATTTTTCATTGCGAATTGCGTTTGGCAATGCTTCACCTACAAAATGAGCGTCTATATTTCATAAGAAAACTGATATATCTGCCAAGTTATGTTAACTTTATTCCATCTTAGTTATATTGAATTTGCTAAAAAAAAATCTATACATATAATAAAAGTGTAACTGATCGCTGTCTGTACATGGAATATATTTGAGAAAAACTATTATTGGGGGTCTTTATTAACGCGATAGAACGAAAAACAATGATTATTAGAATTTTGTCTGTTTGTTTGTGCGTTTGTGCGTGCTAATCTCATAAATAGCTAAACCGATTTGAGTGCGGTTTTCACTTATGTATTGTGGTAAACTTCACTTAACATTTAGTATTTGATTT